CTCCAGTGGGAATTGAACTTGTACTCAACCGCTTGGGGGTGCGACAACTTCACCACTTCACTAAGTCGCCACACTCTATATTTTAATTATTATACATGCTTTAGAAACATAACAAAAATTAGATAATTTTTTAGAGGTGATGGTATAAAAAATTTAAAATTATATATAAAGATCTAATCAAAATATATAGTAAGAGGGGGAGAGGAAGTAAGCTTCTGATAAAAAAAAATCAGTTGATAAATGATACTGTCTTTACTGTACTATTTTTACATTATTATATAATTATGATATCATATTTTAAAACTACTTTCATACTTTATTAAGATTAAATCGAATCTAATTCTATCTTCTTCAAATCTTTGTTTTCTAGTTTTAGTTCATATTCTCTGACAAGTTGCATCTAATTTTATTTCTTTCAAATCTCTGTTTTCTAGTCTTAGTTTATATTTTTTGGCAAATAGTATCTAATTTTATTTTCTTCAAATCTCTGTTTCCCAGTTTTAGTTCATATTCTTTGGCAAGTCATATCTAATTCTATTTTCTTCAAAATCTCTTTTTCCCAGTCTTAGTTCATATTCTCTAGCAACTTAATCTCTCTATTCTCCAACTTCAAGTTTTTATTTTCTATAATTTATATACTCCAGTAGTCTATAAAAGAAATAAATAAAAAAAAAAAAAAAAAAACAAAGTTACTCAAATTTCTATTTCTATTTTCTCAGAAGTAAAAGTTGATGTTCTTGCAAATAGTGGTAACAAATTTGTATGCTTTAGATAATTCAGACTCTGTAGTTGTAAAATTAAATTTGTAGTTAAATCTTATTTATAATAAATAATATAATTATGATTACGATTAGGTTATTATTAAAAAAACTTAATATAGTATAAATATAAACTAATACTTACCAACAAGGCCAATAATATCCAAAGTTATATTTGAAATTATAACCATAATCATAATTTTTTTCTCTTTTTCGTTACCAATTTCTTTTATCCAGATATTCTTTAAATTATAGCTAGCTTGAACAAATGTTAGAGTTATTTCTTTAAAGTTAAAAGGTTTAAAAATTGTTAGATCTAATTATATAGATTAATTTTTTAATAGAATATTAATTATCATAAAAGAATACTTTGATATTGGTAAAAAAAAATACAAAAATATTATTTTTCTTTGTTATTTATAATAATCTTCTTCAGAAAGTATAATACTTTTACTAACCAACTTCTTGATTATACTTTATTTATATCAAATCTTTAAAATTTATATAAATGACTCATCAATATTATTTATACAAGTTTTGGATCAGTAATTAAGAGATGAGATTTATTTAATAAAGAATGATATTTAACTATCCTACTATATTGTTTTGCTAAATAAAAAAAGATATTACTATGATCTTTTTTAATAAAGAGAAAGAATGTTCAAGAATTAAATTATCAACAGATAGATCTTGTCCAATAGTGAAAAAATTAACTAAAAGCAAATTATCAGCTTAGCTAATTGATTTTTCTAAATTTGGCTGATTGATTTTATTACTAGAATTATAGCATTCGAAGTAGACCTAAAATATAAACAAGATTGAAACCAAAATTTTTAGTAAAGTTCAAATTAAATGGTATAATTTTAAAATTGGCCAAGCTGACTAAAGTGGTAAAATTTATCAGCTTAGTTATAGCTGAAAAATTTTGATTAGCTAAAATTACTACTTGCAAATTGCTAGATAAATCTGATATGTTTTTGCAAAATACTAAGAAGTTCAAAGTTAGTATTCTTGTAAAGTGCCAGAAAAGTCTAAGTACCAGAGAAGTTAAAGTTAATATTCTTATAAAATACTAAAAAATTGTTATTTTCTTGCAAAGTGCTAGAGAAGTTAAAGTTAATATTTTAGCAAAGTACCAGAATAAATAAAATAAAATAAAAATTAAAGAAATAAGTAAAAATATATATATATATAAATAAAAAAAACAAAATATAAGCAAACCAAAAAAAAAAATAAATGAAGCTCTAAATTTCTATTTCTCTAAAGTAAGGGTTTGTGTTGTTTATACAAAGTGTTAGAAAAGTTTAGGTTTGCTTACAAAGTGTTAGAAAAGTCTGAACTGGTTTTCTTGCAAAATACTAGAATAAAATAAATTAATAAAAAAAAAATAAAAAATCTCCCAAATAAAAAAAATAAATAAAACCCAATCTCTATTTCTAAAAATAAGAGTTCATATTGTATGGATTTGCTTACAAAATACCAGAAAAGTCTGAGTTAGTTTTCTTGCAAAGTGCCAGAGAAGTATAGGTTGTGTTTTTGCAAAATACTAGAATAAAATAAATTA